ATTAAATTTCAGCATGCAAAGCTATTTCAATTAAAAAAAATTTATATCAAGGTTTTTTGCAAAACAAACTTCTTTTTCACATCATAAATCTGTGGTTGAATATCAATCTTTTGGTTGATGCTGTAACGTTTTGGTTGAACTCAAAATAGTGTTGAACTCAGAGAATGTGAACATCCGGGGAGGAGCCTAAGGACAAACAACAGTAAGACGTGTCCCTGTTGGTTAGTGCAAACTGGTGTGATTTCCTGGTGCACCTCCTGGGACTGATAACCTCTAATAACAGCCATTTAATGTACTGATTCGATTAAAAACAGGTGCATCAGGGAATTGCTTCAGTTTGCAGTAACCAATAGGGACACATCTTACTGCGGTTTGTCCTTCGGCCCCGCCCCGGAGATTTATGTTCTGAGTTCAAAACTTTTTCAAGTTCAACCAAAAACTTAGAGCATCAACCAAAAGTTTGAGATTCAGCCAAAGATTTATGACAGAAAAAATGTTTGTTTTGCAAAGCACTTTTTGATTGAAATTGCTTTTTTTGTTTGGTTGAAATTATTTATTTGATTCAAACTTTGTTTGATTTTTTTATTTATATAAAAATATACTATTAAAAAAAAACCTAGCCTTCCCTTTGCCTTCCTATGCAGTTCCGCTCAATTCTAGTTTCCATTCACTGCTCCGTCTGGGATTTCTTCCATAAACAAGGATTTCTTCGAGAGCAATTCATTCGGGCCAATCAGAGAACAGAACGTCGATTTTCTGTGCAGTGTCTGCTTGTTTAACAATGGCAGTGGAGGAAGTGAATGAAGTCGGTCAATGTTGATAAGACTTACAAATTAAAATAAATTTGTCTGACAAAGCAGTAGCTCTCATTTACAGTCGTCTTATTCGGCTCGGTACTTTTCTCCTCTCAGTAGGGTTGTTTACAGCGCACGCAATTTCCGGTTAGCTTCTTAGCTTAGCCTCCTTCAGTGGAGCTGGCATGCATACGTTGTGGTCAACTGATCCAATCATTTTAAACTTCAATAGAGGCCACGCCTCCAGCAAAATCACTTCTCTATATCAGAGAGTCCAGAACCTCGTACGAAGCAAAGTGAAGGACAAGGGTCTGGTTTTTAATCATTCAATTCTGAGAAACACAGGCAAATATATAACAGCAAAGAACAAAAAGCTTAATTATGCAAACAAAAGTACTTTTGCTTGTAATAACTACTGATTTTAAATAATATACCGAACCATAAAGCTTGTGAAAAAAGGTTATAATTAGTGAGTGGAACCATTATGTTTACCGATTTAAAAATGGCTTTAATATTAAGAAAAATCAAGAAGTGAGTGAAAAAAAGTGTTACAGTAAATCTTTTAGTTTGACAGGCTCTAACAAAGTGAGGAACTGTGAGTCCGGATCTGAGAAACTGGAAGACGCTGCCATCATAAAAGAACTCCATGATTTAAAGTCGAAACATTAAGTTTCTACATGCAAAAACAGAAGCAGGTGAGTGGATTAACAAACTTGAACGCTATTAAAGAGAAAATCTTGTTTATCAGCCTGCAGACTAAACTTTAAGTTGTGCTTTAATCTTTAGGTAAAATCCAGGTGATTTGAACATTAATGAACGTTTCTCATTTTTCATTATTCCACCATTTATATCCCATAAATACATCTGAGGGGATCTCTTACTTCTCAAAATGTTTCTCTGAAAGCAGTATTTATGGAAGTTATAAATTCTGTCAAACTCATTTGACATCAGAAAAATGAAAATCACAGCTGTAAAACAGTAAAACAGTGGACAGATAATCAGAGGCGGCTGGTGGATTTTTCTCCAGGTGGGACTACAACTCCAAAATAGACGTATCCCAAAAAGCAATCAAAGGTGTACTAATTTGTATCACGCTAGTGTATTTATTAAACAAATGACAATAATAAAACACCATTACAATGTCATGTAGTGTTTTATTTTTAGTACATAAATTTTGCTCTGCTGTTACTGAGAAGCAAATTTCTTCATGACTCTGGTTAAATTCAGGGATTTTTTAAACAGATTCTTATAGAGCATGGTCAGTGCAGTGATGTGATGTTGTACTTGAGGAAAGTCTGAATTATCTTCGGTGTTCAGCTCCTCTCAGATTCAGCTGTGGTCAGAAGAGATGTGATGAGA